CACAACTGACTGCTTTGTCACAGCTGGAGAACCCACAGCTGACCGCTCTGGCACATCTAGAGTACCCACAGCTGACTGCTCTGTCACAGCTGGAGAATCCACAACTGACTGCTCTGTCACAGCTGGAGAACCCACAGCTGACTGCTCTGTCACAGCTGGAGAATCCACAACTGACTGCTCTGTCACAGCTGGAGAACCCACAGCTGACTGCTCTGTCACAGCTGGAGTACCCACAGCTGACTGCTCTGTCACAGTTGGAAACCCCACAACTGACTGCTCTGTCACAGTTGGAGAACACACAGCTGACCGCTATTACAGCTGGAGAACCTACAGCTGACCACTGTCACAGCTGGAGAACCCACAGCTGACCACTATTACAGCTGGAGAACCCACAGCTGACCGCTGTCACAACTGGAGAACCCACAACTGACTGCTCTGTCACAGCTGGAGAACACACAGCTGACCGCTGTCACAGCTGGAGAATCCACGACTGACTGCTCTGTCACAGCTGGAGAACTCACAGCTGACTGCTCTGTCACCGCTGGAAAACCCACAACTGACTGCTCTGTCACAGCTGGAGTACCCACAGCTGACTGCTCTGTCACAGCTGGAGAACCCACAGCTGACTGCTGTCACAGCTGGAGAATCCACAACTGACTGCTCTGTCACAGCTGGAGAACCCACAGCTGACTGCTCTGTCACAGCTGGAAAACCCACAACTGACCACTATCACAGCTGGAGAACCCACAGCTGACTGCTCTGTCACAGCTGGAGAACCCACAGCTGACCGCTATCACAGCTGGAGAACCCACAGCTGACCGCTGTCACAGCTGGAGAACCCACAGCTGACTGCTCTGTCACAGCTGGAGAACCCACAGCGAACAGCTCTGTCACAGCTGGAGAACCCACAGCTGACCACTATCACAGCTGGAGAACCCACAGCTGACTGCTGTCACAGCTGGAGAACCCACAGAGAACTGCTCTGTCACAGCTGGAGAACCCACAGCTGACCACTATCACAGCTGGAGAACCCACAGCTGACCGCTGTCACAGCTGGAGAACCCACAGCTGACTGCTATTACAGCTGGAGAACCAACAGCTGACCACTGTCACAGCTGGAGAACCCACAACTGACTGCTCTGTCACAGCTAGAAAACCCAAAGCTGACTGCTTTGTCACAGCTGGAGAACCCACAGCTGACTGCTCTGGCACATCTGGAGTACCCACAGCTGACTCTTCTGTCACAGCTGTAGAACCCATTGCTGACTGCTGTCACAGCTGGAGTTCCCACAGCTGACTGCTCTTCCACAGCTGGAGCACCAACAGCTGTACTCCCTGTCACAGCTGGAGCACTGACTTTTGAGGGTCTCTCCAACATGGTGCTGACCCACTGAGGAACTCTACATAGCTCCAGCTCAGAACACGTTACAAGAGGCGGCTGACAGACTTTAAATCTGACTGGAGTGACTTTTCATCTGAGAATTTCTGCACAAACCGTAAACACTTAAAGAGCCTGTGTGAAGATGATAAAGGAGCTCCTGAAGCTGGGGAACGTTCTCCAAACTAAAGATCCCATCATGGAAGCAGCAACCGTCCAGCTGGTGCAAGATGGCAAAAAACCTCTCATTTATCAGTGTGACAGGAAGGCTTTGGTGAAAAACCTCATCCTGTCCTTTGTCATTGGTGTGCTCCTCTTCGTCTTGTGCACGCTTATTTTAGTTCTGCGAGGATCAAGGTAGTTGGATTTCATAAACTCCACATTCCAGCAGGACTGCAAGGTTCTGCAGGAAGAGTCTATTAATAAAATCTCACGGGGTCCAGTTACAAAACGTCCTGAGAAGCTCAGGGGCTCGAACTAGCACAAGACAGACAACAGCAACCAGAGCGCACAGTTTAAATAAAACAAATATTTAAATGCTTTTAAAAAGGCCGGGAGAGTTCAGAGAAATGAGAGGAATAATAAAAAAATAAAAATGTTCAGAACTAAATTATGGAGAAGCTAATTTATTTTTCACAAAGTCAAAGATTTTAAACCTGAATCACAGTCTTTTTTTTTTTTTAGGTTTCTGGACTTTTTCTGTGGTGTGACTCAGAAAACAGGCAGAGAAATTAACACAGACCTAATGGATTAAAATTCATAATATATTAAAATTTAAGTATTTTGATCTCAGTCTGCAAAAAAATGTGAAAAATTACAAAAACATCTAAAGTAATTCAATAAACATTCAAAATACACCAGAATATTGATTTTTTTTTTTAACCAGGTTTTATAAATTATTATTTTTTTTTTCACCCCCAAAACATAAATATAGAAGCTGGCTCAATCAAAAAAAAATAAAAAAATAAAAAAAAAAAAAAAAAAAAAACAAGGCACAAAAATAATACAACACATTTGACCAAAAACATGTTAAAATAAAACATTTCAGAAAATAAAAATTTGTTAGGGTCCTTTTCTTGGTTTTCAAATGCTACTATGTTGTTGTATTTTCAGACAATATTTTTGATGATTATTGTTTAATTTGACCCTAAGAGTCACATATTAAATTGTTATTTTTATTTAAGTTTGACGACGTATTCCTCTGAAGAAAAACATTTTTCACACCAGCAGGTTGCAAAAGTTCTAGTCTGGAAACATCAAATAATGAAAATTAAATGACTGAGTTGAGAGCATATTTTGGTCCAAATTGTGAGAAGGATTAAATCAGTAATTATTATTGACAGAAATTGTTTTAATTGTAGAACAGCACGGTGGCGCAACTGGTAGAGCTGATGCCTCTCAGCGAGCAGGTCCCCGGTTCAAATCCCGGTCCAGGGGCCTTTCTGGGTGGAGTTTGCATGTTCTCTCCGTGCATGCGTGGGTTTTCTTTGGGTACTCCGGTTTCCTCCCACAGACCAAAAACATCATGGTAGACTGATTGGTAACTCTAAAATTGTCCCTAGGTGTGAGTGAGAGTCAATGGTTGTTTGCGTCCCTGTGATGGACTTGCGACCCGTCCAGGGTGTACCCCACCCCTTGAACAGTTATTGCTGGACATGGGCACCGGCGACCCCTGTGACCCAAAATAGAAGAAGCGGGTAAAGATAATGGATGGATGTTTAATTTGTTGTTCAGGCTGTTTGTGTTGTTGTTTACAAGTTTGAATGAGAAAAGATTTAGATTAAACAAATACAGACAGCAAAAGCTAAATATTTCATTAATCATTTAGTAAAAACTATCTGCCAATAAGCAGACAGTCCACAGTCCAGTTCAGGATCAGTGCCTTCTTCTGTGTCCACTTGTCCATTTTTAGATGGACATCAGTTGTCTCGATCTTCCTCTCTAGTCTTTGGGTTTCTTCTCACCTCCTGTCTGTGTTTGTGGTCCTCCCTGTCTCTGTAGTCCTTCCTGTCTCTGTGGTCCTCCCTGTCTCTATAGTCCTCCTTGTCTCTGTAGTCCTCCCTGTCCCTATAGTCCTCCCTGTCTCTGTAGTCCCTCCTGTCTCTGTGGTCCTCCCTGTCTCTGTGGTCTCTCCTGTCTCTGGTCCCCCGGTCTGCCTCTCTCGATCTGTACCAGTCCTGCCTTCCTCTGGCCCCGTGTCTGCCCCCGCCTCTGCCGCCTTCACCTTCCCACTGCTGCGCCGCTACGGTTCCGAAGAAGTTAAGGGGTTTCCGGAAGGGTCTGTCTTTGCCTCCGAACCGCAGCTGCCCAGACTCTTTCTTCCCTCCCAGCCCGCCGCCGAGACGCCGCGGCACCCAGCCCTTCAGGGTCCTCTCCTGCTCGAAGTCCACGAACACCTCGTGCTGGTCCACCAGCAGCTTGTTGGCCTCCCGGCGGGCCCGGGTCAGAGCCCGCTCCTCCTTGTACTCCACGAAGGCGTATCTTTTGGAGAAGCCCGTCACGATGTCCCGAATCAGCCGGAGCCGCTTGATGTCTCCGTACTTTGAGAAGACGTCGTGCAGTTTCTCCTCGGTCGTCTGGGGGTTCAGGCGGGCCACGAACAGCGTGAGAAGCGGGTCTCCGACGACCCCTTTGTTGGGCCTGTAGCGGGCACACATCGCCCTCCAAATGGCGCGGTCATGGGGCTCCACGTCGGTGCCGTCGATGCTGCCGGCTTTCAGCGGGTCATACTCTCTGGCTATCGGACACCAGTCAGACATATTACCGGAGAAAACTCACAGAAACCGCCGGCTTCTGTTTGAGTAAATAAAAAAATGGTTCCGCGTGCATCAACAACAACAGTCCGTACGGAAACACTCTGATCCAACAATAGTTCCTATAGCTACAGGGCATTCACGAGTTTTAAAATATTTATATTCTCCTTAATTTGTTTTCAATATCAGAGTTATTTTGCTGCATTTTCCTCAGCCTAACCGAAACATGGGTCGATCTAGAAAAATGTAATCTCATTTTTTAAGAACGGTCTCGTATAAATATTAAAACATTTTTTTTAATGTGCACATTTTTAAAATTATTTAGTCATGTGGAGTTTAATGTGCGTTAGCTCACCTGACATGCTTTGTACTTTAACCTTTATAACATTTGTCAGTTTTAAAAAAAAAGATTTTAAGGCATTGCTTTCAAACAATATCTAACCGAGGGGACTGGTTAATTTAAAGGCCATGAGTTTGTCTTTGAATGTGTGAATAATGTTTGTGTGTGGATGAAAAAACTGGATAGTTTTCCCACGTTGAACTATTTGACAATTGAAAATAAGCATTTATAAGTGTTTATTTAAGATACTAAGATAAGCACTTTAGTTAATGAGTTGTTTCGTTGTGACAAATTTTAATTGGCATGGCAGAGCAAAACTGATGATCTCGCAAACCTATAGTCAGGTAAGATCGTTTACTTTTAATAATTTTCTTTGCCAGGTCATAAAAATACCATGACACTTCCATTTAGAATAAAGAGATTAATTAGGACACTAAAATGACAAGAGGAAACGATATGCACAGGATGCACAAATCACCACAATCAGCCACAAACTAAAAGGCTTTCAAAAGTTTGTTTTGCTCTTAAAGCAATACATTAGTTATAAAATCCCATATTAAACTACTCTACTTCACACACAAAAGGCATCATTGCTGAAATGCAGTCATGACAACAAACCCATCTGTTTAATGGAGCATCATCTGCTTTAATTCCTCATTGGTTTTAAATATAATTAGTGACATTTTGTTTTTGATTAGATCATCTAGGACAATCATAGCAGCAGTAAGAATACTCCAGACAGATCTAAAACCAGACTGAAAATCACCTAAAATGAGTTAAACTGCAGTTTGAATGAGATTAAACAATCCTAAATCCATCTCTTAAATTTAGCAAGTTTCCACTTTAAAGACGAGTCTCCAGATCATTTGGACCAGCTGGAGTTTGTTTTTAAAAACAAAACAGATCCTGAGTCATGCCATTTGAAGGGGAGGTGAAAATGTCTCAAACTTTACTCAAATATAAAACATAAAAATTACATTAACCCCTTCAATTACTGTTTGTAAACTATAAAAATAAAGTCTCTAATAAAAGTCTTATTTGCAGCTACATCTAGTAGAATTGGGAAAAACATTATTTGTTTATTAATAATAAAGCATTAGTTTAGAAGCTGTAAAACCTCAGAGGTCATATAAAAAGACTGCACAAAACTTTACAGAACCTTTTTTTTAATAAACAATAAAACATCTGTTCTTGCTAAAAACACTGACACGTCACGTTATCGTTTACAGTCATGTCAGATGGGTTTGGAACAAAAACTCCTCAGTTCATTTCAAACGTCTGCTAACGACGTGTCTGAACTGCAGTTGTTTCAACGATGAGATAAATGTCTACAGACGAGCGGGCTGCTGCCGCCCCCTAGTTTGTGCTGCTGTTACATGTCCTCCACGCTCCATTTATAGGCCGCCTCCTGGACGGCCTTCTTGTCAGCAATCCGTGAGTAACGTTTCTGTTCAAAACCATTCGACCTGTGAAACAAACAAAACAATACTATAAAAAAACAAAAACAGGACCTCTAAGACCAGTTGTTCTTTTGTTCCTGAATGACTGAGAATCAACATGGGTTTGATTCAGCAGCTAACGTTTAATAAAGATGCTAGTGTTTGCCGTGATTCTAATACAGCTCAGTTGTGATTTCTCGTGAACATTGGACCAGCTGTACCTGTCGACTCCATCCCACCGATAACCTGGCAGAATGTTGAACCGGTTTGGAGGAGGTAGAGGGCCATTATAACGAGGTTTCTCTGTAAATCAATTAAAAAAAGTTAATTTGTATCTTATAAACAAAAAGTCAAACTTGTATAGTTGCTATGTTTGCAAAGCATCTGAGATGTTGGAACACCTGCAGATTTTACCTAATAAAAGCTTAAAGAGTAAAATGTGGAAGAATGTTGAAAACCTTGTGTTTTCTTGTTTTTATCCTTTTTGCGTCGAAGCATCGCTGCCATAGGATCCCCCTCCCTTTCCTGCTCTCGCAGCATGCGATCAAGGTCCTCGTCGTCGTAGCGGCGGGCCAGTGGCTTCTGGGCTTCATGCATCGCGTCCTCCAGTTTCTGCTGACGCATCTCGCCCTGGGCCAACCTGTGCACACATTTTGACTTGACTCAGTGAAGGGTACTCCTCAGCTCCGTGTCTTATAATGTGTAGATCAGGGCGTCGCAGATTTACCCTCTCCCCCACTGAGCATATTTCTCATCCTTTGCAGCTTTTTCTCCTGCTTTTCTCTTCTGCTCTTCTCTTTCTGAGTCTAAATCTCGCCGTTTACCACTTTTGTCTCGGAACACAGTCTGGGCGTTGCGGGATTCGTCTAGTCAAAGCAGAAAAAAAAAAGAGGCAAAAACTTATCTCAGTACTGACACAATAAATCTGAACCAGGGATGTGGCTGATGAGACATGTCTTTTGAATCTTGCTGAATAAAAAGTCTGAACCAACCTTCTAGGGGCTGATTGTTTTTGTCTCTGCGCCGATTCTCCTCTTGCTCTTTCCTTAAAACGTCAATAGAAACAAGCCCTGCTTTTCCACCAGAAAGCATCCTTGGAGCCTGCAAGGGGCAATAAAAACAGAGAGCTTGAATTTGAGGAGTATTAATAACCCTATGAAATATTCACATTTGGCTCACCTGTGATGAGCCAGGCCGACGAGGTGGTGACAAATCTCCGTCTGAGTCTTTTCCACTCCGTGGTCGCCTCCTGGGTGGAGACTGGTCAGAATCAGAGTCTTGTCTTATTTTTGAGCTCCTTCTTGGAGGAGACTGGTCTGAATCTGAAGCTTCTCTCATCACTGTTTTCTTTCGTGGAGGTGACTGATCAGAGTCTGAATCATGTCTTTTTGTAGTCCTCTTAGCCTCTGGTGATCGTTTACTGTGCAGTGATGAGCTGGGCTTTCTTCCAGTAGGAGAAGAAACTAAAGTATAAATAAAAAATGTAAATGTTTAGTAGATTTTTAGAGTACTATTTAGGATTCATAATATTGTTATGCAAATTTACTCCAAATTTCCCAAGATGACCAACTAAACAAAATGAGAAGTAACAAATTAATTAATTTTCCCCGTGATAAAATAATAATAATAATAATAATGTCATCACAATGTCAGCACTGTATGTTTCCATACAATGGCGAAATTAGTCTCTGCATTTAACCCATCCACCACTAGGTGGTGCAGTGGGCAGCTATTGAAAGCGCCGGGGGGCATTTTGGGGATGGGCTGTCGAGGGAATGCGTATTTATGCACTCACCATGTTCTATTATTTTACTATATTAATGCAGACTTTATAACTTTACCTACTCCCTCTTGTTGGCATTAATGATATTAAAATGTTTCCATGATTCTTCCTCTATATTATTATGCTCAAGGTTTTGAATGATATGGTAGCAGTGTTTCCTCTACCATTATCCAAGAAGGGCGCCCCGCCCTGTCAACAGAACCGAACGCCCTGCCTACCGAACTGTCAACCCCCCCCCCCCCACCCCGAAAAATGCCAGCACTGACATAGCGCTAAGCTAACAGCATGCAATACACACACGCTCACAAAGCTACAGAGGTAAAGCTCTGTTTCCCTCACGCCAAGGCC